AAAGGAAATTTCTTCATGTTTTTGAAAACCAACTGAATGCAAACTGAGCTTTTTAAGTTCATATGACCATAGTAAACACCAGGTCCAGCGTTCTGGGTCATACGCTGCTCAGGTAAGTAAGTATTAGACTGGGTACATGTCTGTCCTGTGCTCTTGAAGAAAATCCTTAAAATAATAGAAGGGAGATGTAGGGTGCTCCTGCATTGTGAATAGCTGAGGTAAGAACATTTCAGGATGCACATGCCTCACAGTATGGATTTACATGTTATCTACCAGCCTGTATATTGATCCTTCTAGTTTTAGAATTCTGTTTATCTTCTAAACAGAAGTGTGTTCTTAAGGTGCAATTTTAAAATGCACCTTATCAATGTAGATGCTACAATCCACCTGTAAAAGTTATTTAGACACTTACCACTAAATATTGTGAAGATGCTAAAGAAGCCCTCAATATCGCAATGTTTACCCATACGTGATACAGTATATCCTGCAGATCCATGCAGACCTGAAATCTAAACTGAATTTAGTTTATAGGTCATTTGTAGGGAGGGAGCGAAGGTTTGAGTTCCTGGTTCTGATCTCTGGTCTCAGAAATGATTACACATCTGACAGTAAAGCTGATAAAAAACACTAAATCCCGTCTAGTCTTTGGATTAGTCTTTGGACAAGCATATTGTACTAAAGAACTAAAACTCGTGTAAAATGCATAAACCATCAAGCTAAGGAACCACTACTTATATGCGATCTCCTTTAAAGCATGCATTCCTGTCTGCACAATGGCCAATGGTCTTGGAAAATACGGTTTTTAAAAATCCAGTGCAAGTTCCAAGTCATTTCCCCACTGAAAACTAAGTTGTAATTGGAGTCAGTGAGGTTACATAAGGGCTAACTTTAGCCTGTTCTTATATAGATAAGGATTTTTGCACCTTTTATGACCTTGATTGTCTGACAGCTGAACAGATATTGCACTGAGTTTCTCTTCATTTGAAAGAACTCTGTACAGATGTTTTCATAGGATAAGAAAGCTGATCAGAAGGTACTTGAAATCCAGGAAAAGATAAGTATAAAAAATGAAATAAACAAGTGCAACTGACAGTTTGGACCTTTAATTGACGCATTGTGCTGACAGCAGTGCTGAACATTTAAATATTTTTCTCAAGACCATGGAAACTTTAACCCTGGGGAAGCTTAGTCCTGGGAATTGTTGCACAGGTTTTATCATAGTAATTTCTGTTTCAAAGCAACGTTAAAAAATGAGTGGGGTAATTCAAAATAAATAGCATCCAGCCAAGAGCTTTGACTAGATCTTGATCCCTCTTTAGATTTAAGCAAGCCGATATAGTGTTTATAAAAGGTTTTGTCATTTCTGGTCTGGTTTCTGAAGGAAATGAGATCATACTCCTTCTCCTCTGTCATCTCTAACCTCTGTCCAACAATGCTTAAATATGCTGGGCAAAGAGACTACTTTGACAGAGGTAATGAGGCCTCAACTACTTATTCTGTAGACACTGAACATATTAAAAAAAAATATAAGATTGACTTGACTTGCTTTGTCAATCTAAAAAAGGTACTACAGAACATACATAGAGAAACATCATACTGTATATTTTAAAAATAGAATGAACTTCAACTGGAGCTTGTACTCTATCAGGTGCCAATGCAATCTAAGTACAAGATACTAGTCTTCAATAGTGCTGCTGTTTATGGTACTAGGTACTGTATTTTGGTTCCTACAGAAGATAGGAAATTCCTTCCTATGACTTTGTTTTCATTCAACCTCCTTGTCCACACCATTGTCATAGTAACATGAAATATTCTCTTCCACTGCTGCACACCCTTACTTCTCTATAAAAACGTTTCTGTAATACATTCCTCAGGTGACTTCACTATTTACTCCCTTATCCATTCTCTTTCTATGAGCATTAATTAAAGATTCCAATTAATTAGTCTCTGTAATTACCCTGTAGTGTCAATAACAGGAACTGCAACTTTTGAAGCAGCTGGTCCTTTCTTAAGCACTGTTTACTGTACTTTCCTGGACATAGTCACAGAATCACAGAATAACTGTAGGGGTTGGAAAGGACCTCGAAAGATCATCGGGTCCAACACCCCTGCCAAAGCAGGTTCCTCAGAGCAGGCTGCCCAGGTAGGCCTTGAATATCTCCAGAGAAGGAGACTCCACAGCCTCCCTAGGCAGCCTGTTCCAATGCTCCGTCACCTTCACGGAGGGTGCTATGCGTTAAAACTGCAAAGGAATTACGAATATCAGTACTGTTGAGAAGATAGTGCCTGTGGATCCCAGTAATTAATTGTAGATATTAGCATTATAGCATTATGAAGCTTTTTCCACACAGGACATTCTGTATTCTCTTTAGTGTAAAATAAAACAAACATTACCTTTTGAGCCAGGAAGGCCATTTCTTCCAGGAGTTCCTGGGGGGCCTGGAGGCCCAGGGGCTCCCATGACGCCCATCTCACCTTTGGCACCTGGAAATCCAGGAGTCCATCCTCTTTTTCTCCAATCACAAGCCCACAAGGCTCTTAGAAAATAATAAATTTTATTATTAAATACAAATGCACAAGAAGCTTTAAATTTAGTGTGAGAGATGTATTAAATTTTAATTATATAAATTCAGTTCTTTACAATGTTATTCATCTTGAAGCTAAAATATATACATGTAACATCTTCAAGACAAATAATATCATGTGTATATGTATATATGTAAAAATATATGTTCTCTAGGAATATAGTATTTATTTCTCTTTACAGAAATTCCATGTGTCAAATAAGTTCTAAAATTAACAGTACAAACAAGTAGCTATATATAGACATACCTGTTTACTTAAGGGAAAAAAAAAAAAGCACATCTTCACCCAAGGCCCAAGTTCTTTGCTAATATATTTTCTTTCTTCTCTAATGTCACTGGAAGTCTCGGCTTTACATTTTAATTTCTGGTTGCTATCTATTTCTTGTATTACCATGGATTTTAGGACAAGTGGCAGCAAGGAATGAGGTAGAAAGATCAGATAAAGAATTACTCATGTGCCTTTTAAGTGTTTTTTTGTTGTTGTTGTTGTTGTTGTTGTTGTTTTTTGTTTGTTTGTTTTTATGAGATTAAACACTAGGAAAACCACAACTACTTTAGTAATAGTTTCACAATTTTTCTTTTCTTTGTGGGAGGGTGAAGGATTTTTATACATGTTGATTTCTTCAATTTCTTCCTCCATCAGATTTCCAATAGAGACCAGTCAGTCAGCAGCAATGCCTTCAAACTTACAATGAGCAAAATATTATACAAACAAATTAAAACCAAGCCAAATGCTAAAACAAACAAACAAACAAACAAACAAAAACCCTCTCATCTGGGTTCTGCCAACAATGCATCTGTCCAAAAGACATATCATTTTGCATTTCTATGTAATCATTCAATATAAACAATTCAAAATATTTTTCAAAAAACAAAACTAAGAACGTCCAATGTCATAAAAGCCTTCCTAAGGGAAACTGAGGTAAGGGAGCCCAACCACCCAATTGCCAAATATTTTGGGTTTTTCATTCCTTGGAAATGAAAAAGGCTTTCTGTTTCTTTATCTTATTCTGAGGCTATTTTGCTGACTGTTCTCAGTGATAATTTATCCTTTAAGTCCTGCAGGACCCAGACCCAGAATTTTACCAACTCTGGGGAAAAAATGTCTTCTTATATCTTCAGACTTCTTAAAAGAAACTCCACTGCCTGGTGCTGTGTTAATATCCATTCCTTTTGCCATTTGAATCAGCAGAATATTTGCATTGGCTTATGTAAGGTTAGAATTTCTTACAACCACTTAGATGAAGTCCATCTTCCTTCTCTGTCAATGTACACAATTTGGAAGGATTTTAAAGAATAAACTGCATTATGCAATCAAGAAAGGTACAAATGATGGAAAATTAAATTTAAAACAATTCTAAAGCAAATTGTAGCATGTAAAAATCATTAAAAATATTTTCTTAACTTTTTTTCCCAGGTCTGTTTTCCCCACTTCCGTTAAGAATTGAAGTAGCTAAAAGATCATTTGAAGAATACAAGACTTTAGCTGAGATTCTGGCCCCAGTTTATTTTTAAATATATATTTTAAGGCATTCAAACATATTAGTTTAGTTTGAACAAAACCTTAAAAAAATAGTTTTAGAGAGAAAGGAAAAATAAGTAAATAATATCACTATTATCTATACCAGAAGGAAAACTCCATTAAAAATGATACTTCAGACATTTGTTTGTTCATCACTAGTTATAGGTATTGTATTCATGTGTTTTTACTTAATTCATGTGACTATTGCTTTACGCCAGTTAGCTTTAAGAAAAAAACTATTAAAATAATTAGACTTTCCTGGTCACGAGGCTTATTTCCTAATCCATTGTTTATAACTAGCCAGGAAATCACTTGGCATTAGTCACTGAAAAGGCTGTAGGTAATTGTGCCAGCTTTATCACTTCCTGAGCTAATGCTTGCAGGAAGCGGACATGAAAACAATAAAATTTTCAGTTATGGTTCTTTTACCATTTAAAAATAGAAAACAAGACTTTAACACTTATCTTGTGGAAGCAAAGCAGTTATTTCTTTTGCCCTCTCCAGATGACAACTCTGGGTATATATCTAATGGATTAAAGCAAATAATGAACTCCTAAATAAAGGACATTTATTTAATATGGAATCCCCCATTGAAAATTTTGTTCTCTGTTACCCACGTTCTGTTTTACACTCAAAATACAAATATGCATGTTTCTACTTTGAGAGATTTATGCTTGATACTGTCAGGAAGCTAGAATCTTTCTTAAGCATTTGCATAAAAGATTCAGAAGAAAGAACTAAGTTATTCTTTCTCAATATATGTATATCAAGATGTTCTAACTCAGTTTATAAGGTAGCATTCACCAGTATTAAATGTATTGTATTTGTATAAATTTGTACAAATGTATTGTTATATGTATAAATAATTATAGAGCTAGGTGACATTCATATAGTTCATGAAATAACTTTCGAGGTGTAAAGAAAGAACTTTTTTTTTTTTTTTGAACCCTATGACCCTATGTAGTTCTATTTATTTATTTATCACTGCCAATGATTGGCTTTTGCTCCTGGAGACTTTTGTTACTTGTTGTAAAAGTAGCATAGAAGACATTTTATTCCAGAGACATATACAAGTCTGATATTTCTGAGTTAAAGTTGTATCGGTTCTAGACATTAACAATAAGATCTTATAACATACTTTTGGGCAATGAATATTCAGACACATTAGCACGTACTAATTACGATTAAAAATGCACAGACATTAAATGGTTGTATTTAGCATTTAATGGGCCATTGACTATTCCATGTTTCAGTTATGTCATTAGCAAGTGTCTAATATCCCTCATGCCCATTGATTAAAGAAGGACAAATCTGCATATTCCTATTATTTTCCAATAGGAGAAACTGCCCTAGGTGGGGCCTGTTTGCTCCTGGCTATGCATTACAGAATTAGTATGGGCTGCCCATTAACTCCGAAGTACTGAATACTGAAGGTAAAATGACACTCTGAAGATACTCTGGAAAAACAGATAATCAGAAAAACAGATTTCTACTTGGTCCTGACTAACAAGTTTTAAATTCCTTCTGATTCACAAACATATCTTGTGGTGCAGATTAACAATTCTAACACTGGTAAGCATAGAGTGGACAGAAGAAACAGAATACCTTTAGTTTTGTTGTTGCCTGCTTATTAATTTCTTTTTATTCCTCTGACAAGACTTCCCAGTTTCTGTAATTCCATTCCAGAGGAATTGTGTAATAATGAAATCTCAAATCTATAAATCAGTTAAGGGCTCAGTGATTAAATTGAACCTAGAATAATCTATTTTTAGTGGTGCTATTTTTTTTTCGATGTAAATGCTGCTTAAATCATAGTTACACTTGGAGCTATGATGGGCTGTTCATCAGATGCACTGTGGCTGTTGCTAGGCAAGTTTACACATTTTCTTGATAGAGTTTTGCTTTGAGACACTATCTCTGTTCATACTAATGACACAACAATTTGGGGAATATACAGCATACATAAATGAAAATCAGATTACATACGTTGCCAGTTTGTGAAAAAGGTACAGCTGAGTTTTTCATAGCTCTAATAATTACAGTTTAATATGGATTGTATATACAAAGTTACTAGCACAGTTTTAGGATCCAGACAGAGTGATTTACTGATTTTTAAGTAGCAAAGATCTGAGTCATATTTGCCTATCCTCCCATGTAATTAATGAAGCTGGAGAGAATGCTTCTTGTTTCCCTTTTTAAATTATCTAGAAGCAGAAAACAGGATTAAGGATGAAAGGAGGATGATAGAGTCACAGGGTGGTGATGAAGGAGCTGCTGATACTGAAAGAATCAGAAAAATTATCATTCTTCTACTATTACAAGGGAGGGAGAGGGTGACAGGGTTACCTTGTCTTTCAGTTCCTTCTAATCACCTTCCTGTTGACCCAAAACTTCTTCTTCTGTTCTCGTATTTCAGGTCAAGGCCCCTTATTAGCTGTTAAACATACTATGTTGGCTTTTCCAAAGTTGGTTGGAAGGATAAGAGTAAAAGGCTGGGAAATAAACAGAGACCTTTTCAATTTAGTCTACAGTGAGAATCAAATGCACTAACTCTTTCTACCAGCTTCTTCAACTCCAGACCAAAGCAAATAGTTGTATATTGAAAGTCAGTATCTTTCATTTCTAAGGCAAAATGTAAACATATACTAGTGTACTTTATACATTACACTTCAAACAACATAACTTTAATCCCTCAGTTTCAGTGTGCATTTAATTTTCAGGAGCAATTTAGTGACTTCCCTCCCTATAGAAAGAAGTGTTTTTATAGAGTGAATAAGGGAGGAAAAGAACATGGTTTGTGACAATTATTGCCATTTGCAGGATAGCCTTAAGTATAAACTTAAACACTTGTACAGGAACATAAGTTTTGAAAATCCTGAAGTATAAAACAGTTTTCCAGGTCCATTAAAGAGAATGGTAAAGGAAAACTACTCTTCGATAAACTGACAAAAATAATTTCAGTTTAATATTGAAGAACAAAAGCTGAAATAACATGTTGCAGCCATAAGAGTGATGCCAAAGTAAAGACGCCACATACCTTAAAAGTAAGCTTCATTATAAGGGAAAGCACTTTTTCATACTTCTGTGAAATTATGCCTGAGTCTTTTATTGCAAAGCATTGCTGAGTTGAAGATGCAGAGAAAAATCTTCCATGGTAATGTTGCAGTCAGTCTATCCTGCTCAGAGTCCTGCCGACCATATTTTTAGCACTATTCTCTCAAAAGATAGAACGCAGCTGAACTTCAAAAATGATACAACACCAAAAAAAAAAAAAAAATCTATAGCATTATGTCCATATTTATCATAAATTTATTATTTATATATATTTATTCCCACAACACTTGAAGATATTGATATGCTTTAAAAAACAAGGGAAAGAAACATTTTTGTAATATAAATTAAAGCTTTAAAAAATCTGTTGAAGTGAACACACTAGTTAGCAAATTTTCTGAGGTCATGGACCTGCATATGATTTTTTTGTACTAACCTATTTGCCTGTCTTGGCTTTCAAACTTGTGCATAAGCACTAGGACGAAATTTCAGCATTTGATCATCAGGGTCATCACACGACACTACGAAGAGTGATACTACTGTTGTGAAATGGGACCACCAGAACCTTGCAATCATAACCTTATACCTCCTTTGATGTGCTTAAACCACCTAACTCTTGTATATTTCAACAACAGCTGAAAGCACTTTGTAGCTCCTCTTGCTTTCTCCCTGGTAAAACTTCTTAGCTCTCAGTTCATTGTTAACAGTTATCTTCCTTTATGAACAGTGTTCTTGTTTTTTTTTTTTTTGATTGTCCAACCAAATATGGCCATTTTTAGCCATATTTCCAAGCTACTGGAACTGGCATGTATGTGTACTATTTGCAATGGCCAGGGTTTAGAAAACAATCATAATTTATATGGAATGTAATAATCAAATTTATAGATAGGCTTTTTTTCATAAAACCCAAACAAATGAAATGAATGATTAAGCCACCTGACAATCTTGGAATTATGGCTTTCTTTCCCTCAATAGCTATCTTGGGGATACATACAATGAACTAAAGAATAATCTTTTGTAATATTGTTTAAAATAATTGTTAATGAAAATCAATTGTTAAGTCTCCAGTCCACACAGAGGATCCTGGATATATTTGGTATATTTCCATTAAAATACCTGCCCAAATCATGACACTTATATGAAATAAAAGCAGACACACCTTGGGTTCAAACATTTGACATGTTCCAACTAATCATGTCCCTAGTGCTTCTTTATTTCCCACATGAGTTCATCAAGAACAAAAATCTTTCACTTCTACTCCCCACCTCACTTCTCAGTTTTATCACAAGCTAATTAGGATGATCATAACAGGAAAAGGCACGAATTTCCAAAGTGACCTCTTCCTTTTATGAGAGGGTTCAGGTTCCTTTCAGAGCAATTAGTTAATTGGGCATCATTCCCCTAACATGACTCATTTACAAAAAAGCCCTCACCTTAAATAAACAGTCCCACTCCATTTTAGATTGAAGGCTGGAAGCTCATTATAATTGGGGTCTGCTGCTGTTTCTTTGAGCACTTTCTTATCTGGGGATGGAGCTGCATGTAATGCAATCTTCTTCCATGTGAACAAGACTGCTATCAAAATAAACCTTTTCTGCTGCCCCTCTTCCCTGCCATTAGGCTAAGTGAAATAGTAGACTACTGAAAAGAAAGAAAGAAAGAAAGAGAGAGATAGAGAGAGAAAGAGAGATAGAGAGAGAAAGAAAGAGAGATAGAGAGAGAAAGAGAAAGAAAGAAAAAGAGAGAGAAAGAGAGATAGAGAGAGAAAGAGATAGAGAGAGAAAGAGAGAATAGCGAAAAGCCCCCAATTAGGCTGAGAAAGATAGAAAAGGAATTTTATATTCCTATGGTATTTTAACTTCAATGTTGTTATTGAATTCTGCATTCAATTACATTGCAGCTGTACTGTTAATGATCCCCTGTATAAACATACAATATCATACTAGCAGTGAAGTAAAAGGTGGTTATCAAGAGGTCACACTGTTTAAAAACCCAGATGTGATCTAGATGAGGGTCCCTAAGAACAACTCTCACATCTACTTCTACATTCATTTTCAAACACATTTTGACTTAATCCTCTCCTTCAGTATCGCATTTCTTACTTAGTCAAGATTCCTAGTGACGAATTCATCTAAAAAGAAATAAGTGTTGAAAAACTAAATATCCCATGGTTTTATGTTGGAGTACTAGTGCAGCTATGACGTATACTTTGTATTTATTTGAAGAGAGAGAGGGTATGCATTTTCTCATACACATATATTTCCTTTGCACTGTTAGACAGGTTATGCAGGACTACTCTGTAAGAAGTGAAAATGGCTTTTTTCTAAATATGAAAAAGGAAAATCCATGACAGGAAAATCTGAAGCAGAAGAGAGTGCCGTTCCTCTTCATGACAGAAGGGTTGGTTTCTTTCTTCCGACCCAGAAGCCTCATAGGTCTGGAGCTGACCTTAGAGACTGAACACCTTAAGAACACCTGTTGAGAGTAAAAAAGAGCTCCTGAAAAAGTGTCTTAAAACTCTGACAAGTGATACAAATGAACTGTTTGTGTATCATAGAGGTCTGCTTGAAAATTACTATCAGGTTTAACATCTCATAGTAAAAGTTTATAAAACACAAAATGAGAAGTTTCCAATGCTTAGGCAGCCATTCCCAAGCTCTTTGTTAATAGTAATAATTGAAATTGTATGTCTATACAGCCCTGGAAATTGTATTGCAGGGCTGTATAAAATAAAACATGCCAAATTTTGTGGCTTTTAAATAAGTCTTTTCACTCATCACTGAAACAAAGCTATGCCCAAAATCAAACGTGGCAGCTGTTTAGCAGTACATGACAACACTAAACAAATGTTTAGACAAGGAGAATGAATAATATTATACAAAAATGATACCTCAGTAGAATTTATTTACAGAGAGTAATGCAGCAAGAATTGTTTCTAAATGTTTAACATCTTTTCCAGACATAGGCTTTTGCTCCTGAAACATATCAGCATTCCAGTAATTATTAATACAACAATCTTCAATGTTTTGGTTAATGTTAATAAACCTACATTCTTCACTTAACCCATATAGAGATTTTTTTTTTCTGAACCAATTATATCCTATTGGTCTCTAATGATTTTACAGCAACAGTAAATGTTTTCCACTGTGTATCAGCAGTTTGCCATTGAGGTCAACTGCTGTTTTGCTATTAATTTGCACATGGAGCAAAAGTTGTTGTGGTGGTCTACAGCTTTATGTATTAGCAATTATATTTCTGGGCATCAGACTATACCTTTGGAATTCATTGCAAGAATATGTCAGAAAGCATGGATTTAAGAAGGAATTGGAACACAATGTTGTTCATTATAGTACTTCTGTTTGTAGCTCCCAAGCACTGAAAAAAAAAAAAAGGAAAAAAAAAAAGGGAAAAAGTGTAAGTGAATTTCATGCTTCAGGGTGTAAAAAGATATGTACTAGGGATCAAGAAGGAACATTGCTGATGTTTTTGAACTGACACAGTACTTTAGAAGTCAGTAGTGTTTGTAGGGGAAGGATGTCAGTTGTGGGCTAACGATACCTTTAATTGGTTATACCTAGGCCTAGATTTCATCAATAATTCAAGATGTTTACTTAATTGCCAATAACGCATACAGAGTGTGAAGACATCAATACTATATTGCAAGAGAGACTACAGGAGTAAGAAAATACATTTAACTAAGTAAAGTCTAAACTAGTCTGGGATGAAGGTTTTAATATAACTAAGAAGTGGAAAGTAGAAACCCTAGAGATGGAATTTGTATGAATAAACTTCAACATAGAACTGCTCTTGCTTTCTTCATGTTTAGTCATGCATCTTTCATTTGCTTTAGAATAAGTGTAAGAAAGAATAAGGTAAGAAAGAAACTAGACACAGGTGTCAATATTCATTTTGACATAAGCAAACACAAGCAAGTGTTAACTGAATATTTATTGAGTGAAATCAGTCCATAAATGTCACTTTAATTAAAATTTTAAACATTCTAATCATATGATGAGATAGGATATCATGTTCAAGTAGCCTGGAAAAAGAGTTTAGGAGGAGGGGAAACAGAAAGCAAGGAGATGGGTCTAGTTACCAATATGACTAATAGGCACTTTTGGCTAATCGTCACCCTAAAATTCAAAGGACACCCTTGGTGCATATAAATGGCTTTAGTTTACTGAGGTCCCTGATAGCAGCTTGTTAAAAATGAAAGGAAGAGTTTCCTAATCTCTTTTCAAAAGAGATTAAGGAAAGGATGGATTCTGTAAAGATTAATCAGGTGTAAATTCTATTACCATGTTAGCTTTAAATAGGATTTATTGTACGGGCTTTGTTTAGGCTGTTATATTGCAGATTGTGCCTGGAGGATTGTGCCTGTGGCCAGGCTGGATGGGGCTTTGAGCAACCTGGTCTAGTGGAAGGTGTCCCTGCCCATGGCAGGGGGGTTGGAACTAGATGATCTTTATGGCCCCCTCTAACCCAAACCATTCTATGATTCTGTGAAGCCCTAACTGAAGCTCTTCTAAGAATGACTTCTTAGATCTAAGAGTAACTGTTTCCTACAGTAAGAAGGGAGGCAGAATTGTAGATTGGTTTGAAATCAAGAAAAACACAGAAGTTTCTGCAGTGATCTGACTGGACTTTTTCACTAAGGCATTTTAGAAAAAAATCTTATTTCAAGTAAGTTTATTTTTTGCTATGATGCTGAGATGAATGTAAGTATTGTGGATTTTGAACTGAAACTGCTTCACAGCATTCAGTATTTCGGGATGTGTCAGCTTGGCTTACATCCAGATCTGCCCTACAAAGATTATTTTACCATATCAAATGCCAGAGTTTCTTTTTTTGCTGTTGCTTAGTTTGGGGCAGAAGCCAAGGAATGTGTGGGCAGGCTAGGGCTGCAGAGCCAGGAAGGAATAGCCACCCACCCTACACGCATAGCTTTCTGACAAACTGAGCACAGGGTACCATATGCACACTATAGCTAAGGTAGCATGGCTTTCAGAGAGGATGAAAAAGTGTCTGGAGGATCATTTTCACAGAGGTGGAAACAATTTACAGGAAAATTTTAACCACAGGTTCAACAACTAGCCGTGATCTAAACAGCCATTCAACTGAATGAAATTGCCTCCAACTCTAACAAATATCTTGCAAACAGTTAACAGCTAGTAACATTATCAGTGGGTGTCCGTTCTTAATACTCACTTTTCAATAATAAAAAGATTATTTTGTGGAGTGCCTACACTCTAAATATATTTGCATAGTAAACCTACTACCCTACTGAGGTGCTGGATGATTACACTACAGGAGATATGGAGATTTACTTTTCAAAATAGTCAATAATAACCTCAGTAACAAGTCTTTTAAACTCAGTTATGGTATAAAACACTTTTCCCATTGTTGAATTTAAAAGAAAAAAAAAGAAAAAAAAAAAATAGAAAGCTGAAGATGCAATCTGTTGCAAATAGCTTCTCTAAGAACTTGAATGATTTGGTCAGCCAATTTTAATTTCCACTACTCCTGCCTAAAAACAAATAAAAGCTGAAGCTCAATTATCATACAGACAAATATTATGGTATCTCATTGAATTTATAAATTAACACACTTTTATTTTATATTTCTACTTCAACTGTATGTTATGACTTATTCACCTATCCTTTGCTATACTCTGAGGTTGATTTGAGGCTCATTGCCATGGTATAAAGGAAAAAGATGTTTTCTTGCTGCTAGATGTAAAATTTGTTAGTAATTTTCTGTAAGTCTAAGCAGTTTTTCAGGAAACTGAAGAAATGCATTTAAATATTTGATATTGAATACCTGATTTCGTTTCCAGTAATCATGTTTTCTGGACTTTAGCAGGAAATACAATACAAATATTATACCATGCAGACAGAAAAATTTCAAAGCTTTTCAAAACTGACAAAAGTGAAGTCGTCTTTTATTGTAATTGGAAATTATAAACCTCCAAGATACATGTATAGAATCATACAATGAAGAAAAACATTGGGTTCACTGTGTCATTTTTCTTGCCCTAAAGCATTTATAGGAAAAAAGAAAAAACAAACACAAGTCTTCAGTTTTTGTTTTGTGATATTCATGCCTACTGGATGGATGCTCCTGGATAAATCGTATTTCTAGAGGGAATACCATTACGAGAAAGCTCTTGATGAGTTTATCATTCTTACATTGAAACTGACTCTAAATCTACTGATTACTGTTTCCCAAATATAAACAAAAGGAGTGGCAAATAGAACATCTCTTCAGTCCATCATGCATATAACATTTATTATATTATTTATGTATATTACTATACTCAATATTAATAAACTCAGTTTTTCTAAGAAAAATGCTGCTAACCAATGTTTGCGAAAGAAGGAATATTCAAAGTGCTGAACCACGAAGTTCTCTTGTCTTGTGATGTCATTATTTAGATCTAATGAATATAGCCACTGACTATAGCTCCTGTTATGGATCCTTGCTGCTCACTCTGTCACTCCTGCCTTTGAACCCTGCTCCCTGGGTGGTTGAGACAGCTCCTGGAATTTATGCTGTTTGTTCCACCATCCCTGGAAGTCTTTAAAAGACATTTAGATGTAGAGCTTAGGGATATGGTTTAGTGGGGACTGTTAGTGTTAGGTCAGAGGTTGGACTTGATGATCTTGAGGTCTCTTCCAACCTAGAGATTCTGTGATTCTGGGCCATTTATGGAAGAGAGAAGGGCTGCTATTCTCAGTCAAGCATAATATGGAAATCTAAGCTGAAAGTAAGTTGCTTTCATTTATGGGTTGCTTTTTTATTTTGGTTTGCTTTCTCTCTGATGGAATGGCAATCCCATCATGTATTCTGTTTGATTTTCTACAGCATTGGTACATGTGCAAATTTTAAAAGCATAGCTCCTTATTGATTTCCCATCCCAACAGGCTATATCTATACACCAAGATTCCATTTTATCAGTGTTTAATTAGACAGTGAACAGGTGAAGAGAAGTAAAGCAAGAAAAAGAGCACTGATCAACTAGACACAAAGAGAATATTTTTAAAAGTGTAAAAACAAACAAACAAAAAGAAAGAAACAAACAAAACAAAACAAAACAAAAAAGCATCAATGATTACATACTTTATGGACATTATCCTGCCATACTAGGCACTCTTTCAGTCTGTGTGTCAAATTCTCCTGTAATAATTTGTCTCATCTTATATTTGACTGTGAATAGTTCTAAATAAGTTCTACCTCATGGCAGGGATGTGTTTACACACGTGAAGTGCTATCACTAGACAGATACAAGATTCAGTTGTACCCGTAGCTGACCATTTTCTCTGTCCTTCTGAACCTCCTTCCCATAAACTCTCTCTCTCCCTTCTTCCCACCATCCCTTCTTCCCTCCTTTACCCCTCCTTCCCCTCTTCTCCCTCTCTGTCATTATTATTTTATTATTATTAATATTATTATTGAGGTCTTGTTAATGTTGTTTTAGATAATTAGGGCATTCCACCAAATGATTTTTCACAAGCTTGCTATGTCTTAAGGCAGTCTTCACTCTTCATAACATAAAAGTTAGCAAACACTTCCCTGAGTTTTAAAAAGCCTGAGTTTTAAAAAGTCAGTCACAAAGAACACACTTGAGTATCTACTTTGTCCTAGGGATTGATACAAATCAAGGCAAATCAAGTCAGCTACATTCTCTCAGCCAATCTGAATTTTAAAAGTCAGTAAAACAGACCACATTGAAAACACGGAAGATAGTGGGCCACCTACCTTTCCAGAAGGTAGATGGAACGTTAGCAGGGCCTATAATACATCCTCTGTACTGAGGCACCAATAAATTCAGTTCACACTAGCCACTTCCAGGATGAAAATCTGGTCCAGGATCCATGCTCTGTACAGTTCTTGCCAGGTTACCTGGCAAGATGAATTAGTGCTGTCAGAACTGGGACAATGAAAGAGAACTGTATGGTCAGCCACTTAACCATCGTCGGAAGATCAGCACTTAGCATGGACTGTGTGATATAAATGGTCGTATATTTTGTTCAGAGAATCCCCCTTGAAGATATCAAAAGCTGTCAGCTCCAGTGGGGCAGTACAGAGGTTGGAATGCTCCTGGCCTAGAACATAAGGGCTGGTATTCCTTGATTTTCTACCTTTTTCCTGGAACCAGTAGTTATTTTTTTCTGCCATCCTGCAGTTTGGTCATGGACTTGAGATGTGCCTGCCTTGATCTTTCCCTTAAGTGAGCATGCTACAAAGATCAAAATAACTTTGAATATCTGAAGCAGATTTTATTGGAATATAAACTTTTAAAGAGAATATGCTATAATATTGTGTCCAGCAGAGATTTAAAAAACAAAGAAACAGAAACAACCACCACATGAAAG